AAGTAGATGACAGAATAAGTTGTTGACTTCTTTTAGGAGTGATCTCCAGTTTAAATGTTAGGTTTGTTTTTTGGTTGTTTTTGATGAGGTGCATATGACATGTACATGTATACGTGAATCTTCGTCTTCTGTAAAACATGACTGTTTCAAAAGAAACCAAATAATAGAAAATTATGCTTCTAAATGCAAGAAAGTATGCTTTCCACTTTGTATTTGGGGAGGGTTCCCAGATAAAACTGAGTTTTATATGCACCGTTAATGGTGCATTTATGAGCAGATGTCATGTTATGTGAATAGTTTTTCCTGAAAGTCGTTTTGGTATTCAGTGGTGATTGTTGGTTAAACATGTTAAAAGACATAGTTTCATTGAAGCCAGTATACGTTTTGTGCTTTTCACTTTGACTTTGACGGAACACTTCTGGGAATTGTAGAAAAAGTTATACTGGAAAGAGGAAAAGACAGTGACCAGCAGAATAAAATACGGACAAAAAAAACCAGTCCATGATGTACCCATGCTCTTCCTTTTAATAATGAAAGTGCTAATAACAAAGCAATATACACAAGACTCAAAAACATGTACATGTGGAGAGTTAGGCTGGGTTTGCACTCCACTGCTTCAAGTTCAGGCACAGAGGCATACAATTGTAGTTTTATTCTTGGCTTTGCTACTTGTATTGTTGGAAGTTAGCGAAGTTGTAACACAAAATGCCTTGATGTAAGTAGTGTCATTACAATTTAGACTCATATTTCTTGAAGATGATCACCGGACAGAGCCTCCCTAGAAGAATGAGAATTCAGGTCAAATCAAGATGAAACTTTAGAGCTCCTTATGCCTGTTGACACAAGGTGAATAGTGCAAAGTAATAAATCCAAAAAGACAGTGCTTTTTCTGAGTTACAGCATTCTGGGTTGGGAACCCTCTAGTGCTGCGGAGAGAGCATGTACATGTTTCCACCATGCCATGAAATTCATAAACAAACTGACCGGAAACCAGACTTGTACGTTTTTGTGTTTGTTATTGTGTACTTGTGTGGGTTTATAACCTGTCCCCATTGCCTTGTTTATGTAAACTGAAGACCCCCCAACAAAGTAATAATAGTTTCTTCAATATCTGGCACAAATAGGCCAATTCGCACCCCACCCTATTTCCTTTAAAAGCAGAATTTGTTGTTGGCCTTGCTGCCATGTGTGAAAATAACAGGCTAAGTGAACTGAAGCAGCAAATTTGTTACGTTCCCATGGAGTACCTGGTCACTAGATTTTTTCATACTTAATATTGTAGTGGCGTTTACATATATCAGATGTAACTCAGGATGGGACGATGGTCAATTAAATCTGTGCAGCAACTGCAATATAAAGTACATAAATCGTGTGTAATGCTGGAGATCAGCAGTGCACATTCACTAGCCACTCTCTTTTCAGAAAACAACAGTAATAGTTTACATGTACCTTGCCATGGACCATTGTGCTCAAAGACAAACTCTGTGTATGGAAGCACTGAGGTTCTCCTCCCTCCACACACATACATGTACATTGTACTGCACACATGACTTTTTACATATACAAAGTGTGGACATTCCTTTGTTTTCCTATGGTTAAGGAAACGTGAGGAAAATGCTCCTTTTTCTCCAATTAGGATAACTCCCTTGAGCTGGATTTTTGATGATGATTTCCTGGACTGTTCCTTTTCATTTTGCCACGGATAACCTTGACCCCAAAATGCCTCTGAAACTGTTTTTCAGAGAGGGGAAAACATTGTGTGGACGTGTGGGAGTCCACACAACGCCATCGCGCCCGAGATTACGTGGACTTCTTTTGTGCAGAGGTCCCCACTACTGTATGTATGCCAAGCCTGCACACATGGGTTTACATGCACACAATAGATTGCATATTGTACTTTCTGAAGTGAAATAGACAAATACATGGATGTGACAAGGATTCACTTTCCCAAGAACATGCGTATAAATATCTGCCCACCTGTATGGTAACCTACTGTGTGACAATTCTTTTTTACTCAAGGGGAAATCTGTCAAAATCTTTCCCACGTGAGATAACCTACAAGTGAGCAAAGAGTCTCACAGATACATTGTACATGCAATCCCACAGGTGAGAAAAGACTTGGGTGGATTTTCGTGAAGTGTAAAAATCTCTTTTCAATTGTGGAAACAAATTTTATAGAACTTATATGAAAATGTTCATTCACGATTTTATGTTTCATAAACAGAAAGTGAATTTCCTTGGAAGAGAAAAATGTGAAGGGAATTTCCGAGTCCCAGGTATACTTTGCAATGTACTGTAACTTTGTAGTAACTATCCTTCCACGTGAAAATACATTGCTCTGGTTTTTTTTCAGTAAGAGAGAAGAGTAGTGAAATACATGTACAATGCCAAAAGCTTTTGATTTGGTTATTTGTTCCATAAATTTGTTGTACTTTTGACAAACGTGGGCAGAGAAATTGAAAATCAGGTGTTTGTTCAGTGCTTTGACACTGATGAAGTGGTGATTAAAGAAATTAAGAAAGGACATATGTACATGTCAGAAATTTAGTCAGTTACATTAATCAAAGACTCAAAAATAATATTTTTTTGTGTTCCATCTCATTCATGGGAACATTATGCATGTATGAAGACATTTTCTGTGTGGTTTTGCTGCATAACCAATTTCTGACATGTCAGTATTCAACTTGCAAATCATGTCTACTTCTGACAATGGCAAGGTACATGTACATGTAAGATGCATTGATAGTGCCAATTGGGAGAGCTTTTCTACATGTCTACGTGCATGTGCATGAGAAGGTTCCCAGGTATCTCTCCATATACATGAAAAAATGTCTTTGTGCAACAAAAAGTAAAAAAACACCAAATACAAAAACCTTGACCCTGAAATTCACCATGAGGGTCAACAACATAAGGGGTTGTTTGGCATCCACTTACAATGTAGGTATATTTACATTTCCTCCTTATCCCGTGACTTACTGGTATATTCCCTGGTAATTACCCAAAACTTACATGTAGTTCTTGATGTACATGTACGTGCACATGTCCATGTAAGAGTCAAATTTTGTACATGTAGGCTTGCGTGTACATGAACCAGTACATGCCATAATGCTGAACCTCACAAGCATACAAAAATAAATATTTGCTTAGTTTCAAAAAGGCATTTCCTTTCTATTACATGTACTTGATTGCCTGGCAACAGTTCAATGTTTATGTGCCTGAAGTGTTCACAGTTTTTGCTCTTTTCACATCACAGTCGTGGTTTTGCTGTCGGGCTGGGGTAACTTCATGTACATGGCTGATCACCTGTACAGGAAACTTAGTAAATTGAGTAATTCACTACATGTCAAAAAAATCTCACTCAAAAATACATGTACTAAATTATATACAGCTGTAGACACAACCGCTAAATATTACCTGGTACGAATATGCAACGTTCACCCTGTTTAAAATTCATTGGGCAAATATAAATTTTGATGTTAAAACAACTTTGGCTTCCCACAGGAATAGTACACATTGGTACCAATGAGGTGAAAGGGATCAGTTGTGGAGTACAAAGGTACACCGTACTGGTACTGACAATATGCAAGATATGCACGATTCAAATAGGACATTTAGTCAATAATACCGGCGGTGTTTTCATAAAGTGACAAAACCCCGAAAATCAATAATTTTTTGATCTGGAGGTTTTCCTACAATTTCACACAATGCCCGCACAATTCTGTGTGCGTACACGTGTGTGAATGATGTTGTACATGAACACCTGCTTGCGTGAAAATTTAATGAAATCTAACAATTTTCTTCAAGCGCGTATTTTTTTACGAAGTGACAAAAGTGTATATAATGCCACAAGAAAAGAAAAAAAAATAAAGACTTCCGGGTTTTTGTGTTTCCACGAAGTAAACAAAAATCTTTTATTAGTTAATTTTATGAATTATTCTTTGATTAAGACAGTATATCTGCAATTAAGTATGGATAATAGCATTCTCTAAGTCTTAGGTTCCATGACTTTGTAAAAAAAATTCCTCAATTCGTAGCATAAAAGTGATAAAAAATGTGTATTGAGACAGTGGTATTTTCAAACGTGTTTATCTAAAATTGTCCGCTTGGCAGGATTTTGAGGCTTTTGTCATTTTGTGAAACACTGACGATACAATGTCATAGTGTCAAAGGTACTCGCTTATGTGAGGGGCTTCAAAAACATCCCAAACAAAAATTCCCAACCATCAAAATCCATTAAAGCCAAAACGAAAGAAAGGATTTCAAGTAAAGCCAATAGCTTACTCACAAAGGGGATTGAAAAGTGAAAAAATGTTTTCTAGGTCAACATGAATTGAAAATAACATGTCAGAAATGTAAAAAAATTGACTTTTTGCCGCTGGTTGTGAGGAAACAGCACCATGACTAACGATGTGTACGGTACATATATATATGTACATGTAATAATTGGAGATTATGAACCTCCAAATTGCATAAAGAATATAGATATAGTACCGTCTTAGCCAGAGTTTACTGTAATAACCAGCAACTGTGATCAGTATTTTAGTACTTCAACTCATTCATATGACAGCAGATCTAACAAAATCTATTTTACCATTACGTTAACTGAATTTACAGGTGTTTGAATAATTTTGTGTTTACGCTATTGTTCAACTATATGTATTTTCCTTTTTCACCCACAACCAACCGTAAGAGTTTCTGCTTTTTATAACCTTCCTGGGCTTGTAACAATAAATCAATACAAAATGATTTTGGTAATAAGACAAACAATTTGATTATTTGTTCTCCATTTGCTGATTAGTTTTCCCTGTAATGAAGTTTGTATAGTTGTATTATGTGAAGTATCTTTGACTTATAGGAGGGAGTGGCTTTCCTGGATCCACCCCTGACGGTTCGACCGTCAACTTCATAACATTGCTACATGTACCTGTATGGTAACTTTGTACTTCATCAATGCATGCAACCTTTCAAAGTTGTTTTGAACTGATATTGTGTCTTTGAAGCAATTATGGGCCGACCGTCATGCCGCAGGTGGAGGCTGTGACCCAAAAGCATTGCCAACAGATACTGTGGCTGTACGGAGAGGAGCATTACGTCACCGAAGTGGGCACCATGAACATTATGATGTACTGGCAGAACGAACAGGGAGGTATGTTGGTAGACACGTGCATGTACAGTGGGGCTGTGCCAAATACTTGAATATTCAAATGTTTATCTGGAGAATAGCAAATTTACCATGGCAAATATTCAGAAGTGAAAATTAGTGAAATGAAAAGGGAGGTGATTCAGGCATTGCAAGGTGCTGTGAGTGAACATGAAGGCAACTGATGCATGTGCTGACCATTAAGGCCAGAAAGTTACTCTTCCATCCATTTTTATCCCTTTTTACCTGTTCTTATATGTAATCTTTATTGTTATTATTACTAATTTCTGGTAATGACACCAAAGATTCCTGAAAAGTGCCCTTAGCACTGTAGCTCGCAAGCCTGGAGAAACCTGTCGAGAGGAGACAAAGAGAAGCAGTTACAGTTTTAGAGGTGGGGGGAAAACCCCAGAGGAATATTCTGGGTAAAACCCACGGCATTAGGTCTGGACTGAAAACCCAATCTTGATGGGAGAGTGGACAAAAAGTCCCAATGTGAATTTCAACTACATGATGGGATAGTAACTTATCAATTGTTACTGTCTTGAAGCTCAAGGACAAGGTGGACTATCCAAGAAACAAGTGCATATTTTGTTTTTCTTTTGTGGGGAATTTGATATGACTGAATGTTTGAAACTTTTCTCCAGTAGAGCGTCAAATACTTGAATATTCAATTTTTCAAAGTGGCTAAGCTTTACAGTATATACTGTACGTGTAGTAAAAACACTGTCAGTCTGTTGCAATTTACTACTCTACACCTGTCCCTACCCCCCCACACACACAAACTGTGGACAAAAAAATCTGCTGAAAATGCAGCTTTGACGTTTTCCCCTTTATTTGACATTCTCAGGGAGGTAATTAAAGGGGCATGCACATTCAATCAAAAGGTTCCAAATCCTGCTGAATCCTGTGTGGTAACAAAATGAGTCATCTTCCTATTGACACCCCCCTGGTCTTGTGACCTTTTCCCATGCAGAATTGTACGGGTCGTCCCAGAAAAAAACCAACCCTGAGGAAAGGGGTTGATATGCCCAAACCATGAAATATGATTATAATGTATGAGGATCTCAGAAAAGTAGAAGCAGTATTCTTTCTGATGACACCTTGATGGTATCCCTCCTGTCATGCATGACTGAACGCCACTGTCTTGAAAATGGTTATGAACACACACACACACATTAACATGAGTTCACGGACGTTCTGTGGACTTTCCTTTCTTTTCGTAAAGTGAAGAGAAAGTGGACGAAAAGTCCTTGAATTCCAACTACATACTAGTATACAAAGTACATGTACAAGTGCATGTTTCTGTTGCATGCTGTGCACAATCTGGTCTGTGCTTCCAACAGGATGTTGTTTACACAGCTGAACAAAAGTTAAATTTCAGAGCAGCAAAACGTGTGACCTTTCCATCAGAAGTCATGCATGCATGCCTTACATGTGAATGTACATACAGTGAGCAGTGAAAAAGGAAACCATATACCTTAGGCCAGTTTGGTGGGACTAAATCTTTTTTTTTTTTTTTCGGAATCCAGTCTTGACTGCACTAAATGTATCCAACTTTGACCGTGGAGCAGATAGATATCTGTAAAAACCGGGAAACTACAACAGCACAAAAGACCCGCATGCAAAAATAAATAAACCAGCCCACCCAACTCAGCCCCAGCCCCAGCCCAACGCAACCCATCCCATGCCTCAAACCTGACCCATAGTTAAGCCTAAAGCCAACACCAAAAACCAACTCCAAAAGCGACACCAAGACGAAACCAGAAAGAAAACGAAACACTAGTGGGAGCGTCTGCATGAGAGAGAGAGAGGGAGAGAGTACTTTTGGCCTGTGCTTACTTATGTACATGTACACCTGTAGTCAAACTCATGCGACCTTGCAGAAAGAGTACATGTTTGTGGCACAATTCTTGGTCGAAAGGGAAGTAGGATGCTGTGCGTGTATAAAAAGACCACTTCATCACATCAGACTTCTTTTAAACATGAAAGTTTTAAACTCAGACAATTTTAGAGACAAGCTTATTGGGTGCTTGTGTAAAGCTGGTAGAATTTCCTTGTGGTTGCCCTTTATTTCGGCCCTTGGCACATACCCAGTGTGCCTATTGCTGGATCTGGCCCCAACACTGTGGCGTTATTTAACTTTGTGTCAACATAAAGCTCCAAACTCATCAAGGAAAGCATCAACCCATCACAAAAGTTTGCCAGAATAATTGTACAAAACGACACTTTACCACAGGTTTTGAGGAACCTCATTCACACGATGACATCTTAATCATGCTTTCAGATGGTGGAAAATTCTTGGTAAATGTCCTAGAAACATGAAGAATTGTGTCACACACATACCAGTGGAACCAACAACCAGGTTCTCTTGAAATTTTACTTTTTATTGATGAAATCTATACTGTCCTTACAGAAATGCCTCAGGTGCAAACACAAGGTGATTGAAAGATACCAATCGGCAGTTTGATGATTGTGTTATGTCCAAAGAATACCAGTTCAGCCAATACAACCTTCACGCTCCTTGTCCAATTGGAAATGTCCCAGTCCAAAGTGGGCCAAAATAGATTGCCAATTAATCCCCCAACGTTTGCTTCAATTTTACCCTCTTGTAGAAAAAGAGCTGATCACCCCCGAGCTGGATGGAACAATCCTGCCCGGCGTCACGAGGAAAAGCCTGCTTGAACTGACTCGCAAATGGGTGAGTGCAGTGAACCAAACCGTTTGAAACCGTGGAAATGTTTGTGTGGTGGTTTTGTTTGCTTGGAAGCACTTGATGACATGATGTTGTGAAATATTCGTCCAGGCATATCGCATTTTAAAGTTAACACTGTATATTGGAGGGGGCAATTTTGTGAAAGGAATTCACTTTCACCTTTCACAGGGCATGAAAATAATTTCCCAGTTGTGTGAAAGGGCTTTGAAATATTTTCCCACTTGTGGGAAAATGTGTGGTACTTTTTTCCCCTTGTTAGAAAGTTCTGTGACAACTCTTTTTAATTCCCACTTGGGGGAAAGTCTATGACAATATTTTCTCACAATGGGAAAGGTCCATCGCATTTTATGAAATGAAAATGAATCCCCTGGAAAGAGAGGAGTGTGAAGAGGATTTCCCAGTCACGGGTTAATACTTACTTGCATTATACTGTATTAATTTGGTAATGATGCCTAGTGAGAGGTGTTTTGCTCAACACAAGGGCTCAGTCAGTTCTAATGAGATGTTCTACAGTGGTACACGGGGCTGAGACTTCACCACTGTAGTTTACTTGTAAGACATGAATGGATGTCATTTTTTTGCTTGTTTTATTTGTTTTGGCATGACAAAAGGCAATGTTTTAGAACCGGTTAATACCTGTAATAACTTCCTAGAAGTTGTAAAAAGCCCCCCCCCCACCCCAATCTAGCTGAACCGCGCCGAAAAGCTGTGAAAGGTTATGTATGTTGAAAATATCTCAAATATTATTTTGGGCCCTTAAAAAATGTAGGCCTGCTTCTCCCTGAATAGGTTCTTGGTCTGCTTTAACCTTAACGGAATACATGTATGACCATGAGCTTGACTGCATTTACAGAAAGTCTGGACTTGCTCTTTGCCATTCAAAAATTTACAAAGAGGTTCAAGTGAGGAGTGAATAAAGATGCAGCCAAGCCTTTGACATAGAAATGGGACTTGATGCGTTTTGGGTTGTACTGTCACATCATGCAGTGCACAAAACACTTTGATTTGTGGAGTAGCTGAATTGCAAGAGCAGAAAGCCTGTGGCATGTATATGTGGTGATAAACTATTAAAGACCACAACATGTACAAGGTGCAACAGGTTTCTGAGGGAAAAGGAGGTACACGTATGACCAAGATGAAAGCTACCGGTAGTCCTTACAACATTAAGTCACTTCATATCAATTCATTGGATTGGCCCATGTAGCCATTGGATTGTTTGGAACCAAGCTATACTGACCAGAGTCAGATTTCTACTTGGAGATGTCGGATTCGATAGATCTTTTTATCAAAGCAAAAGCAGTTGCACCTTTATTTTTTGCATATTGTCTAAGATAAACTGTTGCGAGTTGCAAATGTTAACCAACTTATTGGCTTCTTGACCGACACAGCAAAGGATAATGCATACCCGTGACTGTAATTTTGCAGGGAGAGTTTAAAGTTACTGAGCGAACGTTCACCATGAAGGAAGTAATGAGAGCAGTCCAGGAAAAAAGGGTAAGTTCGTGCGCCATTTTCGACTTTGGTGTCTTTTGGTAACACGGTTCGAATTCGCGACATTAGGACCGTTTATGCACTGCTTATGATGATTGGGCAATTTTGGATTGGTTAGTTTTTATGCTGACTGATATTGGATGGATATGATAAATTGACTTGTGATGGGTGATGGAATACTCGTTTTGTTGATTAGATGACGGAAGACTGTTTGTGGATTGAAAATGGAGTGCATGATGGAGGATGAATAGATTGATTTGTCGATAGCTGATGGATTGGTCCATTGATGAATGTTGTGTTGATTACTGTATTTGTTTTTTCGTTTTCTTAAATTTTACCATGGGGAATGCGGGTATAACCCCCACCCCTACTCCTTGAGGTGGGGGATGGGCTATTGAATCATACCCCAGCCCCACTGTTTTGCGGTGAGCAAAAACTTGAAGCGGATTGTAAAGACGTTTTTAGACCTCCGTAGACTAGAAATCACTCAAACAGGAAAGCAACTTGCCCTCTAAACGCATGTTAGATGTATATTTAGGCCTAAGTCAACCTGGATGCCCCACAGTGGTTACATGCTTCTTCTGAAAGGTTGAATGAAAATCTATGTCTTTTCTTTGTTTTTTTTTAATTAAAGAATTTTGTTCTGTTGGCTTGTGGGCCTACCCTTAGATACTATTTGTATCATTTAAAATTAAGACTTTAAACGGGACTGAAAATTTGGCATACGATCTTGGGCTGCCTCGTGAGCTGTAAGCAGCTGCTTTGCGCCTGGCATGACACTGTCAGCATGGAGCTTGATAAATAAAGTACAGCCAACCTGGGTTAATGTTTTAGTTCCAGCAATTTTCTTGTCAAACCCTACGTACAGAAATAAAACCATCAATCTTTACAATAAGATGCTTATTAAGATACTAAAAGGAATTAATTGAAGTATGATTGGATTGTTCATTTTAAACTGTAAATGCGTGTAGATCTAGTAAGAAAATTCCCCTCGAAAGTGGCCAAAGTGGTAAAAAAAAGTGGCTTAGATTGGGCCACATACATTTCGAGAATTCTAAATTTTCCAAGGCTCTTGAGCGGGTCCTGGACCCTATGCTGCTCGGTTTCGCGCTTCGCGCTCACTGAGACCTCTTCGAAACCGGCAGGTGATATATATATTTTTAACCGGATTCTCCGAGGTCTGTGGACAACACCGACGGTACTTTCGTTTTGTACAACCAACGTGAGAGAAAACGTTTCCGAAAAATGTTACAAATGTAAACAGATCGCCAGACATTTTTGGGAGTCATAACGCACTTCTTCCTGTCGTGCAGGAGTATGATGTGCCCACATAGGCTATATATATTTTGCCATTTTGATTGGACAAGTCGCCGTATTGCTACGTAGCTCACCGGTAGTGTAGCCCTGCGCACAAACAGTGAAATCGCTGCTCTCTGAGGTGACGTCTGACGTGACTGCATTGGAAATCTGGCTTTCCAGTTGGCCTTATTCACTGGCAAGTCATATTTGATGACATTCCCTGAATCTGTCTCATTCAATGAAATCTCGTAAATGGAATGGTACCAGACTATTTTGGTTCATTTGCCTCAATTTGAGTTGTTTTAATGTTGCTTACAACATTTAGATAATGTAAATCACACATTTTAAATTATTCATCATCGTAAATAAAATTAATCTTTAATGGATTTTGTTCATAGCTGTCATTTGTATTCGTCATCGTGAATGAAATTAATCTTTGATCATTTTTTTGTTTAAGGCTTTTATTTTTATTCTCAGTTTTCCTAAATAAAATTGGTCAATATGGCCGACTTTGTGGATGACGCCACTGAGAGTGATTGCACTGGCTTGCTGTCCCAGATAGAGTTCATGGTTCGTGTTGGGCAGCGAGTGCTTATGGTGCAAGATATAGGCTGAAGATTGACCACACAAAGTGCGATGCATTTTATTGATATAGTTTTATCCAACGATGATGAGACATATTAAGGCAAGACCGATATAGAAGTGAGGAAATACAATTTTCAACTGAAAATGCACGATTAACTTCCCATTTTGATATAACTGAAGATGTGATACTGGCGCCTTCGATTCTAAAGTGATACCGAATAATCGGGTAATGCTGACATGTTAACGGACACATCTGTGATACCGTAATGCATGCTGGAAGGTAACCAAATGTGTCGTACATTTTGGCATTCTCTCTGACCCTGTATGAAAACCCATCTTTTGACGACCCCGATTCACATTCACTGTTCTGGTGGCGCAGTTTGCTCTTAAAACAGTGATCTCCAAGTATTGCACCCGTCCAACTTTAGCCGAAGTTGAATACGTTCGGGCAGGAAATGTTCTCCTGTCTTGCTGCTTCCTCAATATCGCCAACCCGTTTCAAATTCAGGTCATTCCCGGCATTGTAATACTTCAAAGTGTTGTTGTAGTGGGCCTCTATACGTTGGGCGCAGCTTTCGCGGCCTGCGCCTGGCGAACACCACGCCTTCATGTGACCCACATATGGCTTGGTCTCGAACTCGAACAGGAAAAAATTGGTGGTGTTTTCAAACTGTTTGCAGCCCACGGGTAGCTGACCGGTGTACCGTTTGGCGATGCAGTATCCTTGCAGCAAAGGGTGTGGAGATAGCTTGAAGTAGCCGTCGTGTACGGTGACGTGTACCTCCGACACAGTCTCATTGGGCTGGATTTCAAATCCACGCGGTACATACTTAGCATTATAGCCTTTCAAATTGTTACTGACGTCTAGATGCCAGTCATAACGATCGTGTTCAAAGTAGTAGGCGTAGTTCATGATGATGTTAACAGGACTAATGCCGATTCCCAGTTTTCGAAAGGCCTCCGCAAAGCTATTTACCTGAAGGGGAGAAATATTTGGTCGTATGAATAAGTGTAGCATTTGCTTTTACTACCATTTGTGAAGCATTCACTCGTGTTTGTATGAATAATAATGAAGCAAACGCTTTTACTTTAGTGCAGTTGCTAAAAAGTAAAAGTATTTACTTTTTACTCTTTAAGTTTGTGCTTGACAATAAGCAGTTGCTTCATTTTGTATGACTAAAAACGAGTAAGTGCTACAGAATTGGAATATTTACTTACTTGACATTTTTCTAGACTGGGTCAGGGCAGGCTTGCAAACGAGGAGCATTTACTAATGTTCTAAATAGCAACGTTCATGAATGCCATTCGAAGGGAAAAGCTGTATGCCTTAAGGAGGGAATTTCAAGAAACCAGATACAGACAGCTGTACCGATTTGAGAGTGGCAGAGCAATTTTTCTTCAAGGTTTTTGCGATCAAAATTACTGCCATCGTGCTTATCTGCCATGCTGATGTCTCAAGATACAGCACCGTGCCGCACTGTGTGTGTGTACGTTTAGACAACGGAAGCCCTATTGTGCAAAACCGTTCGGCTGTGAAGTCAGCCACAAGTATTAAGCATTTGCTACTATTGGTACAAGCAGATTCTGAACAGTTAGAGAAACATTTTATTCATACAAATTCAAGCAATTGCTTATTGTTAATGCTTTTTCCTCTCAGTAAATGCTTTTGCTGTTTGCTTGAATTTCGTAGCATTTGTTATTTTTTAATCATACAACCCATTGTTTATCGTTAGTGGTCATGTATTGTGTTTGTTGGGGTTTGGGACATCGGTGGACATTCGGACACAAAACTAGCACAGAACATAAACGAAAATTTGGCATCAGTGTCGGATATTTACGAATCAAATATTATGATGCTCGTCTGTATGTATAAAAAACTCTGCATTGCTGGCTTTTGACGTCTGAATGGATTGGAACTAGCTTTGCTCAGCGTGTTGATTAGCTCCTCATGTCCTAGAACCAAACCTGTACCTATCTGTGGAACAGCAATAACCATATGCAACGCTTCCGGTTTTGAAAGTAAAGACCTGTCCATTTTACTAACTATATCGTGCACAAATCCAAATATATCCAAGCATTATCGTTCTGTGTTTGGATGGTGGTGTATACTGGATTGGGGCTGTTGACTTTTTTTTCCTCTCAATTCTAGACGCGATTCAAGTGCAAAAAATAATGAACTAAAACAAGGGACTACTTGTGCAATTGACATTAAAACGAAGACCCCTCCATTTGCTTTTTTTTCCTTCTGGGAATGTTGGGTTCTTTAAGGAACATTGGATAATTCCCTTTCTGTCTCTTCAGCCCAGGGTTGCCTGTAGTCCATATTTTACTTTTGTCAAAGCAATGGCTTACTTTCATCTGCTTCAGGACAAAATTCCTGCAGTTGGTTATAGTATCTCTCCAGACGTAGGTGGGGAAATACGTCATGAAGTCCGCCACCATCTTTCTGCCAAGTGCACTTTGTGTTGTCCTGTACCATCCACAAGTTTTTGGCCTCCTCCAGTCGGTAAAAGCGACTACCCGTAATCTCTGACCGTTGAAGATGTTTTCAGGCGTTACGGGCGTTATAAATATGGCATCCGTGTCAGCCCAGGCAACGATCGACGCGTCGATGAACACATCCATCCAGAAACTACTCCACAGTTGACGGGTATACCCTGTAGGGACACGTCCCTTTTTCAGGATGGTTGTGTCGTTGGGGAGAGGCTCGTAGAAGAAGTCAAATTTGAGGCCAAGTTCTCGTTCTCGTCCTCGCAATCTAAGAGCAAACAGATGATCTGACTCCGACTCCTTATTTAATATCACACTAATGCGACCCAGCTTTGGCGACCAAAACAGAACAGCAGATCGTAAAAGGTCACAGTAGAAACGTGTCAGAAGTTTCGGTATGGTTTCCATGCGGACGGTCAGGGTGAGAGTATGACCCTTTGTAAAAGCCAAATCGGTTCCGTCTACAACGCCAATAGAGCGATTCGGGTAAGGTACCCGATCTTCAATTGACCTGACTCTTACAACGCCATTGTTTAGATCGAAATAGTTTAAGGCTGTGAAAATTACTACCAACAGGATCAGAAAAGCACCATATGTATTTGCCAGAGCTCGTGTTGTCGCCATGTCGAAATTAGGAAGGGTTCCATTCACTGTCGGTTGCACCGGTAATGTATGTGATCTATTTTCAGAGGCGAAAATGAAATTGTGTATTGGCCAATGTCAACCCCTTTTCATTGGATAAGGCATTTACCGGGATTTACATGTGAATGGAAACGTCGTATGTAATCACCCGAGCAGAACGTTTGTCGGTGGCGTCTGACTTTATATAGATATGGAGGTCACTCACAGGCCCAAAGGGCGGATATCATATGCACGGATGACCAAATTTTGCTGGTCCATAAATACATGTATATTATAAAATAATATGTAAAATAAGAAATAAAACTTGGGGTTTTGATTAACTCACAAGTAATGCAACAACTGATGGATTGCTGTTACTTCCCTAAGATCCAGTTGTTGAAGCACTGTTAACTTTTCTCACCATGTTGTCCCCGTTTCGCGAAGAGACACACACGTGGGTATTGAATGAAAACAGGTCTTCGAGATCATCGCAAGAGAGGTTTCTGCTACTTGTTTAGGGCTGGAAACTGAACGCCGCTTCATCTTTTGTGGTGGAAAGGAGACGCCTCATGTGATTCTTTTGTTATTCAGTCATGCAATGCAGCAGTGGCCTTTTCAAGCCTGCCAACCTCGCCGTACCCCCTCCTGGGGTCAGACATTACCACACAATAGATTAAAAGGTATTGAAATCATACTTCATTTCGCTCAAATTGTGTTTGCCTGACCTCGGGAAGGAGTAGGGCATGTTGGCTGTCTGCCTTTTTCGAGCAGTGAAATTCGTTGATTTCCTCCTTTCCTTAAAAAAACAAAACAAAAAAAAAACATATACTTGCATCCGGAGTTTTCCCCGAAATTGAAACACGTAAAGGTGAAGCCATCACTGAACTAAAGGCCATCCTGATGCTTACAGCCTGTAACTTTTTTTTTGTTGAAGCAAGATTCAACAACTTTGATTCACGGTGTGATTTTGTTCCGTCACAAGTCATTACGTAACCGAAAGTCGAGTTGGATTTGAATAGTATAGAATGAACAGGAGTTAAATGGTATTAATAAAAATTGCTTCATGATAATCAACGACCAGTACTGGCTTCTGTGGATACTAAATGATGATGTTGCATAAAAGACGTTCTATCACTTTAAAAACAAAATGTAGCACTGTTGGCTTTATCGTGTATATCATGTGTACATATGTCAATATACTTGTGGGGTATAATATCTCCCGAAAAAAAAAAATCCTGAAAAAGTATTTTCAACGATTTATGTTGCAGGCTGTGCGTGCTATGCTGGCAGCATAAACCATGAGGCGTCTCCATGTGAGACTACAACATCCGCTAGAACGTCGAACACTGGCTATGCATGGCTCTTCACAATTTGATAAAAATTCGAAGTCGTACATGTAGTTGTAGGAGACGCAACCAAAACACGACTCGCCCGTCGTGCGTACGAGCAAACCTGTGTATTAATTTAGCAGTGCACCAGCAGCGGTGGGTAAAGGTACGTGTATTTGACCTCTTTTCAGAGGCGAAAACCCCCTTGTTTTCATTGGATAAGCCATTACCGGGGTTTACATGCAAATGGAAATCACCCGGGCAAAACGATGGTTGTTGGTGTCTGCCTTGATACAAATTTGAATCACAAAATATGGAGGAACTGACGTTTGATCCCAGTAGAATCTGTCTCCATCAGAACCACAATCGAGGGAGATATACATGTAGTAAGTATGATTGTTCAGTTGGTGATGGGCTTCATCAATGTATTGCTGTTGCGACATGTCGGTCCATAATTACCATAGCCGAACCTTTATCCGCCAGCTTGATGATGATGTCATTGCGGGAGCGAAGGACGTGCTGAACGCTCATCCCTGGAGAAAGATTATCATGAGGACTGTGACGAAAATGATCAGGGTCATTCACTTGTGAATGAACAGCCGGTGCATAGGTCTCAAGGGCCGGTACACGATTCTCAAGGGGGTACCCAGGTGCTTTTGACACGGGGTGGCTCCTGGTCGCACGGAGCAGAGACAAAGAAAAATCCTTTAAGTCGTATCCTGCGGAAGTATTCAGTGAGAACTTGGCTGAGTTCTACCCGGTTCACTGTGGGGTGAATGGGACAGAACTTCAGACCCTTGGAAAGAAGTTTGCGTCCAGACCCCTTTAGTTTTACCCTTGCCCTTTTTTTCCAGCCTGGAGCTTTCTTGACCTTGCCTTTTGTCCTCTTGCATTCATCCACGCTTGGTTGATTTCCTGTTTGCTTGTTTTTTCCAGTCCACTTCCCATGTTGACTTCTGGAAAGATTCTGCCAGGATGGAAACCTCAGTCTCTCCATATTTGGGGATTTTTTGTTATTATAGTGCATTACCGGGCATAGCTAGTGTAGCTGCGTATGCAATTTCTTGGTGGTGTCCACTCACACTGACATATTCTGCCCTATTAGCCCGTCTTAATGAGCCAGCAAGAAGTGTTATGAAGCCTCGTGTCATTTGGGGTCCTTCATCGGTGTTCGGGGGGGGGGTATTTGTTGCTGACTAGTTTTAAACTCTCAGCTCTCGCTGATGTTTACTGAACTCCGTGGCGCTCGACGAATCCGAAAGGTTGTACATGGTCTCATCGTGCGCAATCGGTGTATTTCGCAGTGAGGATCATTTCAATGGGGATCGATGGCTAGGGTAAACCTGATTTGATCCTATAGGCCTATATTTTCTCTTTCCATTTTCGAGAAGGATCTGTTCCAGGTCTGATCCTGCACTCTCCGAGATCAGTCACAAATGCCAGATTGATTCCTGCATTTTTGCAACTCTTGCGAGCTTCTGTATCCCGAGAGTCCGCTGGTATCGCTCGTGTGGGTTGCATGTGCTGCGCTGGTTCCCATTTGGTTTTCTGTATATTGTGAATGCGTGGTTGGGGATATCTCCTGGTACCAATTATTGGAACATTCAAATTTCAGACAAAAAGAAAACCTTACAATGGAAAAAGTCCGGCTAAAGTGGGCGCTATTTAGTGTGACATTTCACCTTTGTTTGCAATATATTTTTTTCTTCACTGACTGCGTTTTGTCGGTTGCCACGGGACTTCTCTCATGCATAACCGTGGCGTTCAACAGATATTTTCCTGCTTCAAATAGTGGATTTAAGTCCATGAGAAAAAAGTCACATGCATGATCGCCAAAAACGTGTGGAAAAGTTAAGAGCAGAATATAAAGAAAGATTTCTCTGCATAACACCTTTACCCAAGGTGAAAACTTTGCGTACAAAAAAGTAGGTTTAAAAAGTCTTCAAAAAGACAAGCTCAAAACCGATCGATCTCCATCAGCAGAATAGATGGCTTGCACTTAAAACTCCTATAATCCTATTCTTTCCATCCATGTAATAATTACTTCAATCATTCCCCTTTACTTCATTTAAAGTTTTTGCAACCCTGAAACGGGTCAGGCCCCATGGGACCCAGATTCCGGGTCAGTCTGACCCAGGTGTTTTTAAAGTGCAGTGACAAAAATTTAACCCAAAAAATAATGAGCCCTTTTTGGTCATATTTGACCCTCTCTGGGTCAAATATGACCCAAAACGGCTCAATTTGACCGGGAAAAGGGTCAGGCCCCCATGGGACCCAGATTCCGGATCAGTCTGACCCAGGTGTTTTTAGAATGTGTGGGTGACTTCATTCACTTTTACGTGATGTGACAAAAAAACGTGAACTGGGTCAACAGTTGACACACGCCAAGTTGACTTGCTGCATAGTCGACTTTGGAATGGCGTCGGTTCTGAAATGACATTATGCCACTTATATTATGATCCCCACTTTCGTGCGTCAGAATGGAGCTGAACATTCACAGTACTGTTTGTGCTGACTGGTACTTTAAACGGGTTTTAATCAATTCATTTAACACATAGGCCTCTACATTATTTTGCATCCATTCACATAAGTGTAAAGATACGCTTGCGTACAAAGCTCTAAAAAATGTGTATCTCATCCCTCATCACTTAAGAAAACTTAACAGAAGGTCCGGACTCAACATTCTTTAGCACGTTTGTAAAATGTTACCAACCGGATCTGCGATTGGTCAATATCCAGTTACGGTTTTTTATTTAGTAGTCTATTTATGAACCTAATTTGGTCCTTTTCTCGTAAAATACCCAATACCTTTACTGTATCGACCGACGTTTGGCCTGTTGAATCGGGAATACAATTAGCACAAACTGCTCTAGCGATCCCTATTTTCGAGACAGAAATCTCAACTAAAGCAAAGGTCCTGACCTCAAATGGTTTGTTAAGTGCATGTCTTCCAACTCATTTCTGTCCCCACATTTGAAAAGTCGAATGTCTTTGGTGTGCCCTCAATGTATAATGCCATTGGATACCACAGATATATATTTGCCCCTTTATCAAAAACACTTTCCGAGGCATTTAGGGCTCAGTATTGTTGATGTTTAAATAAAGAGAAACCGTCGAAGAAATTATCCAAGATGTCGTTTGAATGAAAGACAGGGGTGATAGGCAAAGCAGCATTTACTCCGAGTTTTCGTAACCACATCAAAACAACGGAATGTCCACACTAGAGCAATACACTTGTGAAGGCCCATCTGAACCTGTACAGTCATGTTGTATTGCAAAACCATTCATGACGGGACACACGAAGAAGATTACGAACTTTTTTTTTTGGTCCTCAGTAGTAGAGTTTTGTTGTAAATGTCCTCTGGACTAAGTCTCTGTCCCCCACGGGGGAGTGTTATGTTTCGGAATAAATGGTAG